CCCCAACTTGATTGCCTGGAATGCTCGCAGGCAGGCTACGGTGTCTCGCAGCAGCATGGAAGCCGAGTACAAAGCAGTTGCTGATGCGACAGCTGAGATCATTTGGGTTCAGTCCTTGCTGAGAGAGTTGCAAGTCCCTTCGGTTCATTCTCCAGTGCTTTGGTGTGATAACATTGGTGCTACATACTTGTCATCTAATCCAGTGTTTCATGCTCGGACAAAGCATATTGAGGTTGATTATCACTTTGTTCGAGAGCGTGTTGCACAGAAGCTGCTTAGCATCAAGTTCATATCATCAAAGGATCAACTTGTTGACATCTTCACGAAGCCTCTTCCACAACCACAGTTTGTAGGCTGCAGGCGCAATCTTAACTTAGTTTGTACTTCAAGCCACAGTTAAGATTGAGGGAGGGTGTTAGACTGTATATGTTTACGTAGACTTGTGTATACGTCTTGTACTTGTACTTGTACCCTTTGGTACTTATATATAATGAGATAGCCGCACCCCCAAGGGTGTCGAGCAGTTGCCCCAATATCCTAGTCTTATAGTCGCCGTCCACGATGTCGGGTCGCTTCACCCACAGGAACGGGAACCCGCACATCGCCAGGCCCAGCACGAACTCGCGCGTCTGCTCGGCCGACATGACGGCGACGCTGCCAAAGTTGACATAGACCATCGACTTGTCCGGCTTGCCGTCGAGCCATGCGAGGCATCGCGCGTCTTCCTGCCAGATGTTGATGTCCATGGCGTCGAGGCCGTCGTTGGCGGCGGAGGAGGAGGAGGCGATGACCTGGGCTAGCGGGCCGACGGTGTACACGGGCGGCGGGAAGATGATGGCGAGCGCGTCCACCACATCGCTCTCGAGCTCGTAGAAGGTGTTGAGGATGATGGCCTTGGAGCCGGCGGCGCTCTTCATCTGCCCGATGATCTCGTTCACCATGGTGTCGTTGGCGTCCGTGATGCGGTAGAAGGTCGGCATATCCCTCAGCCGCATGTGCTGCTGCATCCCTGGCACCCAGTCCAGTGGCGTGTCCAAATATCCGTTGGTCAAGCAACTCCCATCTTCGAGAGGGAGGAGCCCTCGCCTGAGCAGCTCTTCGAACTTCGAGTGCGCCATGAGGCCGCCCGCGGACGCCATGAAGAAGAGCGCGTCTGCCACGCCGGCCTCCCTGGCCGCGGTGGCCGCGAACGCCATGGCCGTGTCGGTGACGACGCAGGTGAAGGGGGGCGCCCCGGCACGCTCCTCGTCGGCGAGCCTCCTCAGCAGGCCGCGAAGGGGCCGGGGTAGTTGCGGCCCACAGTGTCGGCGAGGGCCGCCACGTCGTGCTGCGGCACGGAGAGGGACATGCCGTCGTCGATGACCTCGACGCGGAAGCGGGCGGCGGCGGCGGGCGGCGGGCGGACGGCAGCCTCGCCCTTGGCGCGGAGGAGGCAGCGGTAGTTGAACTGAAGCCCTGACTTGATCAAAACCTCCCTCGCCATGTTGGATAGTCCTTGGCCCTTCCAACCTGAGACTTTCCCCTTTGCGCTCTCCTTGACATACTGATCGCTGGTTTGTGATGTTTGCTTGTTGGGCTTGTTTCTGGGCTCGGTTGTCCTTTATCTGTTGTTTTCTGTGATGGGCTTCACTGGTTTGGGCTGGCTTGCATTTATATTTTACCTCTGTCAATTAACTGTTCATGCATCATTTATGTTTTGGACGCTTATAAGCGCCGGCCCACCGGCCGAAAGTTTCGGCCGGTCCAGCCCAGGCCGTCGGATGTGAGCCACACGGCCGTTAGATCCAGGCAAAAAAAAAGATCGCCCCCAGCTTCTTCTTCCTCGGGCAGGCGGCCTGGATCCGCATCTCCCGCTCGGGGAGCACGACACCGCGCCTCCTGTCCCCTCCGGTGGTCGTCCCAGTCGTCAGTCCCCACCCTCGCCGGTCTTCCTCGTCGCCCGCCAGACCCCGCCATCACCGTCCGTCCTCGTCACCGGTCCCCCACCCTCCCAGCCTCGTTCTTGCCTCGACCCATGCAACAGCTCCACCTGCGATTGCAGCTCTTGACAATGACGGTTGTAGCTCCGACGCCCTCGCCATTGATGCTCGCTGCAGGAAAATACGTCGACGGCGGCGCGAGTCAATCAACGCCATTTGAATGGATGTAGCAAAAAAAATTCACCGCTAGTAGCAAAATCAAACTACAGGTGCAGCAAAAACGCCATCGCCGCCTTCGTGAGGTCACAGCTCCGCCTTACATGGATGTAGAAAAAACCTCCAATGGTAGTAGCAAAATCCTGCTTCGGTTGCAACAAAAATATCATTGTCGTCCTCGCGAGGTTGCAGCTCTGCCTGATGGATGTAGCAAAAAGCTTTGCCGATAGTAGCAAAATCCAACAACGGTTGCAGCTTCCCCTTGTTGTGCAGTGCCATTGAAGCTTTCTATGTCTATGGTTGAAGCTTTTTTCAACGGTTGTTGAAGATTTTCTAGGTGACGGTTGCAACACTTGTATACGCGAGACGATCCGGGCATGGCCGTAGGCAGCCATGACGGCCGGCGAGGGAGCGCTTGGCCGCCGGCGATGGAGCTTGTGGTGGCCCAAACGCAACCCGGGAGGAGGGGGGGGAGGGAATGCACGCGCGTGAAGACTGTAGGTAGGGGATGGATCTGGCCATGGCATCGAGCGAGGGAGCGCTTGGCCACCGGCGATGGAGCTCATGGTGGCCCAGTCGCTGTCCGAGGAGAGAAGAAAGGGGGAAGGATACGCGCGTAAGGCTGAAGGTAGGGGATGGAGGCGCTGGAAGGACGCGGGGCGCGCGGAGCCACTGCACGGGGCGTGTTTTGCCAGCGTGGCGTGCGAACCGGCGAAAAGTTCGGCCGGCGCACCGCGCCCAGACATTACCCTAATGTTTTTTCAGGTTGTCGTGCATCGGCTGAGGTAAGATTAGCTGTTCGTACAGCTTGTGCGTGTTGGTGTTGTGTTCTCTCTCTCTTCTTTTTTTCTGTTCAAGTCCTTTTTTTCTCCAGTTCCTTAAAAATAGAAATGACAGGCATGCAAATTGCACGTGGTAGACGGACATGCTACTTACATGTCTATAACCCCATTGGCACTACTTTTTAAAAAGAAAAAGAATGTTAAATTGCACATGGACAGTGGACGTGCAATTGCGCATGGCCGGAGTACATGCAACTGTGTACAGACCACGCATGTGCTAATCCAGTGGCAATATTTTTCCCAAAAGAAGTCCAAAACACCATCATTTTGAAAAGGAAAATAACACAAATTCAAAATGGAAAAAAAGAAGGGAAAACAAATAGTAGAGAAATGAATAAAGAAAAGTAAACCGGGCTGCCCAAGCACTCAGCTCCCCAGCCCGCCCGCACCCTAGTTAGGGCATCTCCAGCCGCGCCCCCAGGACGGCCTCCTCCGGCGATTTATTTGCGCCGGCGCCGAAAAAATGGCCCGTTTTTGCGCCCGGCGCTCGCAGGCCGAACCCGGCGCACTGGGGGGGCGCTCGGGGGCTCTGGCGCAAGGGAAAAGCATTCCTCGGCCCGCGTTGACATGCGAAAAGTCAAGCCGCCCGCCCAGATTCGCCTCTGCCCCCGCCAGGAAAAAGAAGGGGTTTGGCCAAGGCAGCCTCTTCGCCGCCGCCCCGGGCACCTTTTCCATCGCTCAGGCCGCGCACAGGGCTGTACGCCAGCGGGCTTGCGCCCACCTCGCCCACAAGGTGTTCGGTGAATTGCCCGGCCCGGCGATGGACTCCGAAGATGAGGAGGCGCTCGCGGCATTGCTGGATGAGGAAGCCGAAGCCGACGTCCAGGAGCAGGAGCATCTCATGGTGCTCGCTGCCCTCGCCGGCCTGCTCACGAGCAGTGAGAAGCCGCGGCGAGGTGGCTCGGCGCTTGGGCGGGTGAAAGCAAAGAACCGGCATCGTCTGGAAGGCTACTGCATGCTCTACTCGGAGTACTTCGCCGACGGTCCATTGCACGGTGAGAAAATATTTCGGCGCTGTTATCGGATGAACCAAAAGCTTTTCCTCCGGATTGTGAATTCCATCCGGGAGTTCAACAGCTACTTCAAGTGCAAGAAGGATTGCACCGGCACACTTGGATTCACCTCGATCCAGAAGTGCACGACAGCTATGAGGATGCTTGCATACAGAGCTCCCGGTGATTCACTCGACGACTATGGGCGCATGACCGAGTCCACCATCATTGAGTGTTTCTACAAGTTCTGCAGGTCAGTGGTGGCAGTGTTTGGGCCGCAGTACTTGCGAACACCCAATGCAGAAGACACTGCTCGGATCCTAGCACAAACTGAAGCAAGAGGATTTCCTGGGATGCTTGGAAGCATCGACTGCATGCATTGGAAATGGAAGAACTGTCCATTTGCTTGGCAGGGGTTGTACAAAGGCGCCAAAGGCGGTTGTAGTGTGGTGCTTGAGGCAGTGGCCACACATGACCTCTGGATTTGGCACTCTTTCTTTGGGATGCCAGGAACTCACAATGACATCAACGTCCTGCAGTGCTCCCCAGTCTTGCCAAGCTTGTTGAAGGTCATTCTCCTCCGGTGAACTTCGAGGTGACTGGACGACAGTACAACAAGGGGTACTATCTAGCTGATGGCATCTATCCGAGATGGTCGGCATTTATGAAGACCATCTCAAACCCTGTGCCAGGAGGCAAGAACGCCTGGTTTGCGAAGATTCAGGAGGCTTGCAGGAAGGATGTCGAGCGGGCATTTGGTGTGCTCCAATCTCGATTTGCTGTTGTCCGGTACCCCGCTCAGACCTGGTCGAAAGATCAAATATGGGACATCATGACTTGCTATGTCATCTTGCACAACATGATCATTGAGAGCGAGCAGAAAGAGCCAGTGTTTGACACTGAACCATATTACGCGCAGGGTCCTCTTGCCCAAGTTCATCACCAGATACCGGCAAACTGGACTGACTACCTCAATACGCGTCAGGAGATCCGAGACCCACAGGTGCATCAAGAACTGCAACACGATCTGGTGGAGCACCTATGGAGGCTCAAGGGCGAGGCCGGGAGTGACATGTGGAACTTGAGTTTTTATTTGTTAAACTATATAATTTGTAGTGAACTATTTGATTTATGTGATGAAACACGTCGAACTATGTGACGAACTAATTGATTTCTATCTGTATGCGGAAATTCATGCCGAAACCCGCCGAACCGCGCCGAAAAATGGGCCTATTCACGCAGTTATCGGGCTGTTTTTTGGACATATTTGGGCCGAAAGCTAGGCTGAATTCGGCGCCCGGGGGCGACCTGGGGGCGGCGGCTGGGTGCCGAACCGCCCCAGCGCCGAGTTTATTGCCGGCGCACCCCCAGGCCGCTCTTTTTCAGCGCCCTGGGGGGCCGAACGGCTGGAGATGCTCTTATACCCCGGCTAATGTCGCTTCGAATTGCATGCGGACTACAACATATGCGGTCACACATGGGGCGATGTGCAACTGGGTGGCACGTTTGAAAAATAAAAAAACAACACTATTTAAAATAGATAAAAAACCTACAAAACAAAAATTAAATTAAAAGTAGAAAAATAGAAGGTAGAAATGCAGTTGCGGTCGGGCGCGACACTTGCAGTTGCATTCCTAGTGTCGGACATGCAACTGGCCCGCCCCCTCTCCCGCCGCCCCCTCCGACAAAACAAAGGTCCAATTGGAACCATGTTTGGGGACATGCAGTTGCGGTCATGTGCGGCGCTTGCATTTGCGGGGATGTTGTTGAGCTTGCAACTGGCATACCCCCTCCGACAGAACAAAAAGTCCAGTTGTGATCGGGTTACAAGACTTGCAGTTGCGGTCGGGTGTGACACTTGCAGTTGCGGGGTTGTTGTCGGGCTTGCAACTAACCCGCCCTCTGACCGAACAAAAAACTCCAGTTGTGGTCGGATTACAAGACATGCAGTTGCAGTCGGGTGCGGTGCTTGTAGTTGTAGGGATGTTGTAGAGCTTGCAACTGGCCTACCCCCTCCGACAGAACAAAAAAGTCCAGTTGCGGTCTGGTTACAAGACATGCGGCTGCGGTCGGGTGCGATACTTACAGTTGTGGGGTTGTTGTCAGGCTTGCAACTGACCCGCTCCCTCCGTCCAAACAAAAAAGTCCAGTTACGGTCGGGTTACAAGACATGCAGTTGCGGTCGGGTGCGACATTTGCAGTTGCATTCCTAGTGTCAGACATGCAA